AAAATAAAAGGGCGACCGGCAATTTGTTGCAACAATTATTCCAATAAAGTTTTTACGAGAAAACTATTTGTTGCAAATATTCTTTTAAATGTGTAACTTTAGCTACCTATTTTTATTTTGCAACAACACATGCACTTAGTAATATATTTTTAATAACAAGTAATGTTTGTCATGAAATATGTTTTACAATGTATTTGATATGTTGCATAATGTATTTTAATATATTCAATATTTGTAGTACAATGTATTATGTAACAAGTGATTTTGTATTCAAATTTATTTCGCAACACTAATAGTCTATTGTGCCATCATTTGTGCATCGAGCATAGTTGTTTCTTAATTTATTTCGGGATTATTTATATACATCACATATTTCATAATATTATACCGGAAAGTATTTTGTGACAATGAACTTTCATTTATGTCAAGTTGTGCTCGTAGTTAAATTTATTCTGCAACACACAGTGTTTGTCACTTCAAGGATGTAAAATTGTCACCTAATTGATTCTATTTTTATTTACGTATGTCGAAGATTCTATTTTAAACACATAATTTTCAATTTCTTTCATAGCAATGGAATCATTACTGTGGTGCACAATTATATGAAAATTTAACTTACTTAACTAGAAATAACTTGTGACTTTATGAAGAGCATGCTTCAACGTACAATTATTTAAATATAATTGATATAAAAATAGAAAGAAAGAAAAAACCTATTACCGTCAATGAAATAAATAAAGATCAAGGTATTATTTATAAACTTGGTTACTTCCAAAATCAAAACAAATGCAAATAAATTGTAATACTAGTAATTTCAAGGTCGAATTACCTAGAATGATTCACCAAACTTGAAAAATTAGAAAATAGAACTAGAAATATGGAAAAAATGACAAAAACTCACGAGACACCCAAATAACATTCTTGACTCTAAGATATGCTTTCAACAAACCATCAATATATTTTTTGGTTAAATGAGAATTCCTATAAAGAAAAGCTCATAACTTTAGTCAAACATGTACATATAGAAGGTAATGAAATATAAGCTTAAAGAAAATATTTCAAATATCTCACATTGAATATTAGCACAAGATCAACAACCATCGCAATAAGCAGTCAAATATATCTCATTAGTCGATTACTCTAACCTTAACTATGAATAAAAATTCTTATTAACTATCGGTTGATGCATAGTTAGTATTCGACTCTATAAAGGAATGGGAAAAATGTAATCATTAAACAATAAAATAGGAAAACATTATGCCAAAAAAAAAAAAAAACCTATATATATAAAGAATGTTTTACTTACCAATATCACTATCACCATTATCATCATCGTTACCATCTGGAGATTTCTCATCTTCACTGTAATATTCATTCAATGTATCATCTTCCTCTTTCGAAGTATCATATATAACATCATTCATATTTTAATTTATTGATTCCACAACTATTTGTAATGCTTCATTTTCTAATAATATCTGGCTCAACATATCTTCTATGGCATACTTGAGAGTCAAGATCTTCCTGTTGTATTAGCAAGACGATATATGGTGACTCATTTTCCTAAAACATTACTTGCTCACTACCACCATCATTTTTTTAGAAATGTCCCATATGCCTCTGTGTTGTACCTTTTCCACTACCTTCCATTGTGAACCCAACAAAAGATCATCCATACAAAATTCTTGTGCTTGGATGCCAAGTATATAAGAATTATCCATATACCATTTGCGATTCACATTGATAAAAGTAAGATGATAATCTACGACCGTTCTTTTTTGCTTTGGATTATTATCGTACTAATTGTACTGGAACAAAGTGACGCGATAGTAAAAACGTACACAAACTCAATAACATCACACAATATACCGAAAAAGTTGATTTTCTCATCTCTCAGCACCATTACTCCGTTATTTTGTGTTGTACGACAATCATCTCAATCTTTAACAAGGAATCATACCACATTAGCAATATAACCCAAATAGGGAAATATTCTAATATTCGATTTACATGCTATTGCGTACAGTTCTTTGCTTGCACCCGAATCCTTTTGATTATATAATCTCGTTATCCATACCAATAAAAACATATTAATCAATATACCTTTAGACACAAATGTTATGTTACTTTAATAAATAATTAAGGCACGTACTATAACTTACATGTGAAGCAAACCATCTAGGAAACAATTCTTTTTTTCCCCCAATTGTTATGATTTTATTGTTGCATGTAACAACCCAAAATTTTTATTTATTTATTCTAAACGTGAAATGCTTATTTAAGGTAGAGAATGATTTTCTACGTGTATTCTATCTATACCATTTTTATCACATCACAAAGCCACACGTTTTCCCATGTTAGTGGCTCGATTTACTAATTTGCCTTTTATTTACATACGTGTCTATCAATTCATTTCAATTCAAACAAGACAAATTACCAAATTATCAATCAAGGACGGCTGACATCATGGGAGCATAAGGTCATGATTATTGTGTACTATTCCAAGAAAGTTGACTATTATATAATATCTTTTATCATTCATTCCAAATAAAAAAAAATACTACTGTATTCTAACCCTACCCAATCTACAGGTGTTGGCATTCATTGTTAAGGTCGAATTACCTAGAATGATTCACCAAACTTGAAAAATTAGAAAATAGAACTAGAAATATGGAAAAAATGACAAAAACTCACGAGACACCCAAATAACATTCTTGACTCTAAGATATGCTTTCAACAAACCATCAATATATTTTTTGGTTAAATGAGAATTCCTAATTGTAAAAAAAAAAAAAATTATAAACAATTATTAATAAGAAACAAGGTCTATAAACTTCAATATATAGAGTCTAACTTATTCGAATCGCCTTTTTCTCGAGCCTGATATATATAATTAATTACAATCTATTCAATGAGCCCAATATTGATATACTTATACTTGTTCTTTCGAAATTTAATTATTTGACTCATATAGAAAATATGAATTTAAAAACTATTTCATTTTACTAAAATTTTCAAGATATAAGAAAAGCATATAAAACAAATACTTATTTTTTTTATTTTTTTTTTGGGTGCTACAATCTCCTATCCTTAAAAATATTTTCGTCCTCGAAAATTATCTTAACTAATCGAAGAGTTCTGGATACTTAATTTTAAGCTCATCCTCCTTTTCCCATGTTGACTTTACGCCATTGCACCTTGACCAGTGGAACTTCTTTGTTCTTGAGTTGATGCATAGTTAGTATTCGACTCTATAAAGGAATGGGAAAAATGTAATCATTAAACAATAAAATAGGAAAACATTATGCCAAAAAAAAAAAAAAAACCTATATATATAAAGAATGTTTTACTTACCAATATCACTATCACCATTATCATCATCGTTACCATCTGGAGATTTCTCATCTTCACTGTAATATTCATTCAATGTATCATCTTCCTCTTTCGAAGTATCATATATAACATCATTCATATTTTAATTTATTGATTCCACAACTATTTGTAATGCTTCATTTTCAATAATATCTGGCTCAACATATCTTCTATGGCATACTTGAGAGTCAAGATCTTCCTGTTGTATTAGCAAGACGATATATGATGACTCATTTTCCTAAAACATTACTTGCTCACTACCACCATCATTTTTTTAGAAATGTCCCATATGCCTCTGTGTTGTACCTTTTCCACTACCTTCCATTGTGAACCCAACAAAAGATCATCCATACAAAATTCTTGTGCTTGGATGCCAAGTATATAAGAATTATCCATATACCATTTGCGATTCACATTGATAAAAGTAAGATGATAATCTACAACCGTTCTTTTTTGCTTTGGATTATTATTGTACTAATTGTACTGGAACAAAGTGACGCGATAGTAAAAACGTACACAAACTCAATAACATCACACAATATACCGAAAAAGTTGATTTTCTCATCTCTTAGCACCATTACTCCGTTATTTTGTGTTGTACGACAATCATCTCAATCTTTAACAAGGAATCATACCACATTAGCAATATAACCCAAATAGGGAAATATTCTAAAATTCGATTGACATGCTATTGCGTACAGTTCTTTGCTTGCACCCGAATCCTTTTGATTATATAATCTCGTTATCCATACCAATAAAAACATATTAATCAATATACCTTTAGACACAAATGTTATGTTACTTTAATAAATAATTAAGGCACGTACTATAACTTACATGTGAAGCAAACCATCTAGGAAACAATTCTTTTTTTCCCCCAATTGTTATGATTTTATTGTTGCATGTAACAACCCAAAATTTTTATTTATTTATTCTAAACGTGAAATGCTTATTTAAGGTAGAGAATGATTTTCTACGTGTATTCTATCTATACCATTTTTATCACATCACAAAGCCACACGTTTTCCCATGTTAGTGGCTCGATTTACTAATTTGCCTTTTATTTACATACGTGTCTATCAATTCATTTCAATTCAAACAAGACAAATTACCAAATTATCAATCAAGGACGGCTGACATCATGGGAGCATAAGGTCATGATTATTGTGTACTATTCCAAGAAAGTTGACTATTATATAATATCTTTTATCATTCATTCCAAATAAAAAAAAAAATACTACTGTATTCTAACCCTACCCAATCTACAGGTGTTGGCATTCATTGTTAAAAAAAAAAAAAATTATAAACAATTATTAATAAGAAACAAGGTCTATAAACTTCAATATATAGAGTCTAACTTATTCGAATCGCCTTTTTCTCGAGCCTGATATATATAATTAATTACAATCTATTCAATGAGCCCAATATTGATATACTTATACTTGTTCTTTCGAAATTTAATTATTTGACTCATATAGAAAATATGAATTTAAAAACTATTTCATTTTACTAAAATTTTCAAGATATAAGAAAAGCATATAAAACAAATACTTATTTTTTTTATTTTTTTTTTGGGTGCTACAATCTCCTATCCTTAAAAATATTTTCGTCCTCGAAAATTATCTTAACTAATCGAAGAGTTCTGGATACTTAATTTTAAGCTCATCCTCCTTTTCCCATGTTGACTCATCCAGTCCATGGTTACGCCATTGCACCTTGACCAGTGGAACTTCTTTGTTCTTGAGTTGATGCACCTTTTTGTCCAAAATCATCATTGGAATTTCTTCATATGACAAGCCCTTTTGTACTTTCAAAGTTCGATAACTTACAACATGATTGGGATCGTGAACATATTTTCTAAGCATTGAGAAATGAAACACATTATGCACTGCTACCAATTCGGGTGGTAAGGCAAGTCGGTAAGCCACACTACCAATCCTTTCAAGAATTTCAAATGGTCCAATGAACCATGATCTCAATTTCCCTTTTTTCCCAAACCTCAGCACACCTTTCATTGGTGCTACTTTTAGAAAAACTTTATCACCCACTTGAAATTCTAAATCTTTTCTTTTATGTAAGCATAACTTTTCTGTCGGTCTTGCGTTGCCTTTATTCTTGCTCTAATCTTATCAACTGTCTCAACTATTCGTTCAATGATTTCGGACCCAAAATTCTATTCTCTCCAACCTCGTCCCAATGGATAGGAGACCTGCACTTCCCACCATAAAGAGCTTCATATGGGGTCATGCCTATTGTGGCCTGAAAGCTATTGCTGTAAGCAAACTCTACTAATGGGAGATGTGTTTCCCAGCCACTACCAAGATCTAAAACACATGCCCTTTACTTATCTTCAAGGTTTGAATGGTTCTTTCTAACTGTCCATCTATTTGTGGATGATAAGCAGTACTAAACTTTAGTTTTGTCCCCATGGCTGCTTGCAAATTTTCCAAAATTTTGATGTGAATCTCGAATATCTACCTAAAACAATGGTAACAAGAACTCCATGCAATCAAAATATCTCTTTGATGTATAACTGTGCGAGCTGTTCCATATTGAAATTTACCTTGATTGGTAGAAAATGGGCCGACTTCATCAAACGATCAACCACTACCCAAATAGCATTGTGACCTCTTGCTGATCTCGGAAAACCTACCACAAAGTCCATCGCTATGTGTTCCCATTTCCATTCTGGAATATCCAAGAGGTTCAATAGCCTTGATGGCCTTTGATGTTCTGCCTTGACCTGCTGACAGATAATACATTTCTCCACAAACTGACCAATTTCTCTCTTCATGTTTTTCCACCAAAATGTATCTCGAAGATCCCGATACATCTTTGTACCACATGGACGTAGTACATATGGGGTGGAGTGAGCCTTTTCTAGTATCTTGTTTCTTATACTTTCATCCTCAGGAACACGCAACCTTCCTTTAAAAGTCAGCATGTTGTCTGCAGATATTTCAAATCCTATACGTTTGTTTGCACCAATCTCAGCCTTAATCTTTTGTAAAAATGGATCCTTATTATGTGCTTTCTTGATTCGACCCCGAAGAGTGGGTTGAATCATAAATGGTTTTATTGTTGTTATAGTCTAGGTCGATGGAGTGATGATTTCTAGTTTCAGTTTCTCAAAATCCCTAATCAAGTATTCCTCCACTGTGGGTAAAACTGCCAACTGTGATCATATCTTCCTACTTAAGGCATCTTCGACTATGTTTGCCTTACCCAGATGGTAAAGAATTGTACAGTTATAATCTTTCACTAATTCCAACCATCTTCTCTGCACTATATTCAATTCCTTCTGTGTGAAGAAGTATTTGAGACTCTTGTGGTCTGTATAGACTTCACACTTTCCACTATAGAGATAATGACACCATATCTTTAAAGCGTGAACTATCGCCACAAGTTCCAAGTCGTGTGTCGGATAGCTCATATTGCTTCAACTGTATAAATTTTACCTGTCTCAAAGCGTAAGCAACCACTTTTCCTTGTTGCATCAGAACACAACCTAAACCCTGCTTGGAGACGTCGCTATAAATTACAAACCCATTAGAACCTTCAGGTATGATCAATACAAGAGCTGAGACTAACCTCTGCTTGAGTTCTTGAAAACATTTTTCACACTTTTCCGTCCACTGACATTTTACCACCTTTCTAGTCAACTGAGTCATCAGCTCCACTATTTTTGAAAAACTCTCAATGAATCTCCTATAATAGCCAGCCAACCCCAAGAAACTGCGAACTTCACCAACACTGGTCAGTCTAGGCCAATTCGTTACTGCTTCCACTTTAGTGGGGTCTACTTCGATTCCTTGGGCGGTAACCACGTGACCAAGAAAACCTACGCGATCAAGCCAAAATTTGTACTTCTTGAATTTGGCATATAATTTCTCCTTCCTCAAAGTTTCGAGCACTATTTGAAGTTGTTCCTCATGCAGTTTCTTGTTCTTTGAGTATACGAGTATGTCGTCAATAAATATTGTGACAAATTATTCTAAATACTGATGGAACACTCTGTTCATGAGATCTATAAATATAGCTGGGGCATTGGTCAAACCAAAAGGCATGACATTGAATTTATAATGCCCATAACGAGTCCTAAATGCAGTTTTCGTTATATCGCTTGTCCTGATTTTCAGTTGGTGATGCCCCGACCTCAAGTCAATCTTTGAAAACACAGTAGCACCCCTTAACTGGTCAAACAAATCTTCTACTCTTGACAATGAGTACTTATTTTTTATGGTCGGATGGTTTAATTCCCAGTAATCAATGCACATTCTCATACTTCCATCCTTCTTCTTGACAAAAAAGGAGCTCTCCAAGGAGATACACTCTGTCAAATGAAACCTTTCTCCAACAACTCCTCTAATTACAACTTCAATTTTTGAAGTTCTTTTGGTGCCATTCAGTACAGGACCTTAGATACTGATGCTACTTTAGGAACCAAATTAATTGTAAATTCCACTTGCACCTAGCAAATATTCTGGGAACGCGTCTGCATAGTCTCAGACGATGTTAATATCGTTAACGGCCATTTCTGTATGTTGAGAATCGATGATGTTAACCAAGAATCCTTGGCATGACTCCTTTCTCAATATCTTCTATGCTTGCATAGCCGATATAAGACGAGGTAGAGACTTGAACTTCGCTCCAAAGAAACGGAATTCTTTTTCTCCTGGTCTATAAAATAACACCTCCTCCTCGCAATATTGAATGGTCACATGATTAAGTCCCAACAATCCATGCAAAAATAACATCGAAATCTTTCATTTTCAAAAGGTACAAGTCTGCCTCCAATATTTTTCCATCAATCTCTAACTCATAGACTTAGTCATCTGATTTGTGCAAAGAGTTTTTCCTAAAGGGACGCTAACTTCTAATTCATTAGTCTTTTTCACACATACAGCGTTAGACTTATCGACAAAGGATGTAGAGATAAAAGAATGTGTAGCCCCAGAGTCAAAAAGTACATAAGCAGGTACATCAGATAATAACAGAATACCTATTTTTATAATTATCATGTTAAACTTAGCTACAAATGATTTAAGAATCAAAAACATAAATAGTTATTTTAAATAATAATTGAATACCTACTATTACATTCGGATCCCGCTCCGCCTCATGTTGGATCATGCGAAAACTGAAGCCTTCCCCTTTTTGTTCTTATCCTGATCATCATCTTTCTTCTTCGGAGGCTCTGTACAATTAAGACTCGAAAACATAAATATGTATTTTAAATAATAATTGAATACTTGCTATTACATTCGGATCCCGCTTCGCCTCATGCTGGATCAGTGCGAAAACTCAAGCCTTCCCTTTTTTGTTCTTATCTTGATCGTCATCTTTCTTCTTCGGAAGCTTTGTACAGTTAAGAGCTATATGTCCAAGTTTACCACACCGAAAACACATGTTCTTTCCAAATAGGCATTCATCCCTATTGAGTTTATTACACTTAGGACAAGGTGTAATACTCCCATTCGTCCTACCAATACGAACTCCGGTGCTGGGTCTTTTATTAGGCTAGTTATGTCTGTCTTTGCCTTGATTATTCCACTTTATTTTTCCAAATGACTCCTTGCTCTGTTGGGCATACTGTCCAAATGTTGTCCTCTAATAAGAAATGGCATGAACTCTCTCCAACATTTCACTACATGAAGTGAAATGATGGGACATAATGATCATGCCGATCTCTGGGCGTAGTCTATTTTTGAACCTCCTAATCTTCTTAACTTCGTTATCCACCAAGTGTGGGGCATATCTTGAGAGCTGATCAAACTGCTTCTCGTAATCAGTAAGTGACATGTTTCTTTGCAGAAACTCTAATTCTTTGAAGTCTCTTAAAGCCTATGGGAAGTATTTTGCCATCACTTTATCCTTAAACTATTCCCAAGTCAGGTTACGAAGCTACTCTTCCGTCCTAATACGTGAGATAGATTCCCACCAGTGACCTACCACTCATATCAACATGAATTCTGCGCATAGTACCTTCTATGCGTCAGTACAAGAAATGTGTCGAAAAATGCACTTCAGGCCTCTAATCCACTCCTCAATGGCCAGTGGATCGGAATCACCATCGAATGTAGGAGGCTTGTACCTACGAAACTGTTCAACTACTGAAACCGCTCTAGGAACGAATGGAGGTATATCCTGCTGTGGCGGCACATTTTATGGTTGAGGTGCTTGATTCTGTCTAGTCAACTCTTGCATTGTTTGCAACAAATCAAGCATCAAATTTGTGCGAGTAGGTGGGGTCATTTCCTAAAAATTTAAGTTATTCGTCACACATTTATACCTATCTATCATAAATTTAGCGGGTCAACAGCAGCATGTCTCGAAATTTAAAAGTAGGCAATTTAAAATAATTAAGTTATGCAAAAAGTTTAAATAAATGCGTTTTTCTTTCTGAAAAAGAATTTCATGAATTACTCGAGCTTAAAAACTATTGAACCATGCTTTTATACCAATTGACATGACTCGTCCCGAATCACTTTAATGGACTCGACACGTGTCATGTGTCAATGGTAGATGCCAGCTAAATGAAAGACCCACCACCAAGGCAACTTTGACTTGTTTAACTGAAAAATATTTTTAACATAATTTTGGCAGAGCTTCCCCTGAAATATGAACTAAACCACCTGAATAATAATCAATTTTTCATTAAATCCATACCTATAATATTAATGAGGGTATGCCAGTTCCTCAAATATAAACTATTCAAATAAAATGTTGGCAAATCAATATTTACTTGCTTTACAATCAACAATCCTCAAATATACTAAAGATACCAAATATTCAATGCACCCATGATAACTTTTTTTGAAATAAACTACATATAACCCAAAAGAAACATGTACTATATAATCTGATAAAGTAGGTCATACAACTAATGATGTGGGGCTCAATTCGATAGATCGACAAGCTCCAACACTGATCAATTTGGCTACTATCTGATAAAGAAAAAGGTGAAAAGTTATATGAGTTTATAGCTCAGTGAGTGGATAATTTGCAAATAAAG